TGGCTTTGTCTGCACTCATAAAACAATTTGAATCATAATTTCAAGTTTTGCGTCCAGATTTGGCACGATGCTATATATTACACGTAAAAATACAATGCATACAGTATGCTTACAAAACAAACAAAAAATAGTTCGCTCCTCCAACTTTTTTCTTTGATCGTACTCTGGCCAATATGATGACTACAGAATTTACATTCTATGACTACATAGAATGTAAATACTGTAGTCATCATATTGGCCAGAGATGTTAAAATATGTTAAAATATCTATACTGTAACTTCTGACACCCTGTCTGTCTCTGTGCATCGTCCATCTTTTACACATCTCTACAAAACATTCTCAGTGACGGGGTATGGGTGTGTTTTGTTTTACAGCTCTGACGACATAGACCATCGATCTTCTCAAACCAACATTTCCCAGCCAAGCTCCGTCCCCTTCGCTCCCCCTCAGATGCAGATTTCTGCATCCATGCCATGGCTCGGCAATGGACAGACCAGCATGGGAGCCAGTGTGGTACGAGTCTCTGCACTGAAAACACAGATACACATGAACACGACCCAACAGGGCAGTTTTTGTTATGAAGTTCCTATGTATAGCCAGCAGGGGGACACTAAGCTCTATTTTGAAGTCTTTAGTAAACATTGTATATCTGCGTTCACTCTGCAGCCTTTTTATTTCACAACATGCATTACTAAGGTTTCATTTAAAGATTTATCAACAGTAACTGAAGCATGAAACCAACATATAATGCAGAATGAAAACTGCCATCAACAACTTTGAGTTCAATCTGGAGTCTGGGGCCTTCTGCACGGTTTCAGGAGAAGTTTATATTTTCATTTCTTATCAATGTTGAGCCAAAATGAGCCCTGCCGACTAAACAGCCATCCTGCTGAGTCTATGGAGTCGCTGCAGGGATGGACTTACAAACACAGATAACAACAGCTCTCACAGACGGTAACCAAAGCTACAGATTTGCGTCACGCTTACACACCGCCAGGGTTCTCCATTTCCCAGCCATGTTGATAAATGCTGGTGCTGCAGTTTGATACACAAAGCAAGATAGGGCATGCAGGTTCCATGTTCTCGAATAATTCATCTTTGGTGAATCATCCATTAATATATTAAATAATGTTTTTTTGTTGTTTTTCAGATTATGAAGAGGAATCTAAACAATGTGAAGAGAATGACATCCCATCCCATATATCAGTATTGTAAGTGCCTACATTGAAGCTTGTGAATATGAGGTCATCAGTTAACATTTTCATTTTGATTGTCTTTTGGTTAATATATCCCCATCTCCTCTGTATCTCTCTGCTCCTCTGTCTGCCTCCACCTCTCTACCTCTTTTTCTTACTCTCCCTCTCTCTTTTTGTGTGTGTGTGTGTGTGTGTGTGTGTGTGTGTGTGTGTGTGTGTGTGTGTGTGTGTGTGTGTGTGTGTGTGTGTGTGTGTGTGGTGTGTGTGGGTGTGTGTGTGTGTGTGTGTGTGTTGTGTGTGTGTGTGTGTGTGTGTGTGTGTGTGGTGTGTGTGTGTGTGTGTGTCAGACATGACAGGGGCTCAGGACGGCAGTGTAAGAATGTTTGAATGGAACCGACCTCAGCAGCTCATTTGCTTCAGACAAGCAGGCAACGCTAGAGTCACCCGGCTCTATTTCAACTCCCAGGGCAATAAGGTACACACATACATAAACACACACACACAGACACTCTGCAATATCTGTGTTTTGTCTATGTTGTGTGAATGTCCTGATTTCACCTTACTCTTAATGTAGTGTGGAGTTGCTGACGGAGAGGGCTTCCTCAGTCTCTGGCAGGTCAACCAGACATCCTCCAACCCCAAACCCTACGTGGTGAGGTCCCTCCCACCTCTCTCACCTCCCTAATCACCACACATGCACATCATCAGACATAAAAACCAAAACATGTAGTCATTAAAATGAATAAGCACTGTTTGTTTATTTTGTCCTGTTCCATTCTAACAGAGTTGGCAGTGCCACACTAAGACGTGCGGTGATTTTGCCTTTGTCACGTCCTCCAGCCTCATCGCCACAGCTGGACAGTCCAGTGATAACAGGTCAGCTCCTGCAACTTTAATGATCCAACCCTAATCTTTCTCAGTTGGTTCCACTCACTCATATTGTCCTTGTTTTAATTCATCCACAGAAATGTTTGCCTGTGGGATACTCTGATTTCACCTAGCAATACCATGGTCCATGGTAAGAAATCCCAAATGTGTCAAACTTGTCTTTAATTCATGATTTATATTCCTGTACATCAAGTTGTTTTTCCAATTTCAATTCCACATTTCTCCCCACCCACCCCTTAGCGTTCCCCTGCCATGAGAACGGGGCCACTGTTCTGCAGTATGCTGCTAAACAGCAGCTGCTCATCACTGGAGGCAGAAAGGGCTTTGTGTGTGTGTTTGACATCCGCCAGAGGCAGCTGCTCCACACCTTCCAGGCCCATGACTCAGCCATCAAAGCCCTCGCTCTGGATGCCTTCGAGGACTTCTTCGTTACTGGCTCCGCAGAGGGCAACATGAAGGTGACGCACTTGCTCCATTACTCATTCACTGACCTGCCAGAACACATTTACTGTTGAACTGTGATTGTCTGATTAATATCAGGTACTGACCTACTCCATGAAAGGAGAAAATCCTCTCTCATACAAACATATAATATATCATATTAATCTATTGATAAATGGTACATTTCCACTAAAATACATAGCCATTTTACATCTTGCCTCGTAATGATCCTGATCCCATGCTGGTTATGGTGGGACATTTGTCAGCTTTGAAACAATGTGCTGATTTGATTCTGTTTGACAGGTCAAATATCACTTTGAGAAAGTGTCACAGCCTTCAAATTACTTGACATTCACAGTGGCAGTCTACGGGTTATAAAAATGATAACAGGGAGGCGTGTGGCGCAGTGGAATAGTGCGTTGGTGTTCGGATCAGGGCAGCACAGGTTCAAACCCCACTACAGTCAGCATGTCGTTGTGTCCCTGGGCAAGACACTTCACCCCAAATTGCTCCTGTGGGGATTGTCCACAGTATTGAGTATGTAAGTCGCTTTGGATAAAAGCGTCTAACAAGTAACATGTAATGTAATAAAGAACCGGGAAAGAAACGTAACAACTGTTTCCTCCTCTCTCCCTCTGCTGTCTCTGTCTCCAGGTGTGGAAGTTATCCGGCAACGGCCTCATGCACTCTTTTAGCACCGAACATACCAAGCAGTCCATCTTCCGCAACATCGGTGCCGGTGTCATGCAGGTGGAAACGCGCCCCGGTAACCGCATCTTCACCTGTGGAGCAGACGGCACCCTGAAGATGAGGGTCCTCCCTGACCGCTACAATATCCCCAGCAGCTTGGTCGACATCCTGTAACACCTACTTCCACTTCTGAGGGTCCAAAGAGGAATAAGACAGAGAGAAAAAACAAAAAGCTTACGTTAACACTTGCTAGGCATTAATAGTATACTTGATGAGGGAAGAGGTGGTCAATAGATCACCAACCTTTTGGCATCTTTCAGAGTGTGCCGTGTCAGGAGTTTACCTTTTAAATAATTTCCACAATGGGAAACGGAGCTGCAAATGTTTTTTTTGTTTCTTTCCCTGAAGGCAGAAAGCAAAGTTACAAGTAAAGGGTATCATACTTGATTTTGAAGCTAGATTTATTGTAATTTTATTGAAGAATCTCTATTCTTCGAGTGTGTCCATAGGGAAGCTATGCATGTCCGGTTCTCGTTACGCGGTGCAATCACAGGTCTAGTGCTCTGTAAAAGTGCTCAAGCTAACATTTTAAAAGTGTGTAACTGTCGTCATTTTGTGCCCACAGCTGAAATCTCTTAGCATCTACTGTAACCAGCACTGTGGTTTGTTATTAAGTCAGTGGTTTCCGGTGTGAATCGAGTTGTTGGAATCTGCATTATGCTTCAATGGTTTTACCCCCGCCCCTCCCCGCCTTTTATGTCCGACTTGTCTCCGCCCTTTTTGGAAGAGTTGATGGTGCATTACCCTCACCCCCTCTCACTGGCTGCCTCTCCTGGTTTTGTGTGTGTGTGTGTGTGTCACTGCTAGAACATTCCTGTTTGGTTTTACTCCTGTGATTTCAATGTTTCCATCTGTTTGGTCCCCCCCCCCCGAGCAGAAACACAAAGGTTCACTCCTGGTTTTGCACAATATTTGTATTATTATTTAAATTATTTATATGTTTGTGTTCGTATACTTGTTTGGTTGACCATTCCTATTTAACTTATTGCCTTTTATTTTAGGAATGTAAGGGGTTTTACTGTATCTGACTGGGAGATGTGCAACACAGTCTACTGTATGTAAGTGTGTGTGATACCCCGCTAGTTGTTTTTACTGTTTCATCTATAAGGAATAGATATTTGCACTCAAAAGTTCTGGAGACACTAAAAGTTTATTTGAAATAAATAGGATATTGAAGAAGAAACTGTTGTATACAAATGAATGTCTGGCTTTATTTGGCCTAGTAGTAAAACGTTTGAAATAGTTTTAATATATAAATGATTTAAATATATATATATGAAATACCACAACAGCTTGTACAAACATGAAAGCATTTCTTTATTTTTGGTTTGTATCATACCAGCTGGATTAGTTGTATCTTTTGTTAAGTGTATCTATGGTATTTATTAAAGAGATTTGTGTTTCTCTCCCTCTTTCGGCCCACTATGTGTACTGTATGTAGCTTAAGTGTTTTACCAATGGTCCTACTGGTGTGTATGTGTGTGTGCATGTAATAATGCAAAATAAGCCAATATCATGGGTAGACGCTTACTAGGGCACTTGAGCCTGGAGGTGTGTGAGAGAACAGGTCATGGTCAGAGTTTTACCTTTGTAAAGTGAATAAATTCTTTTATTTCATCAGGGTGATTTGGCGCTGTTGTTTTTTGACTTTCTGTCTAGAGGAGAAGAAGCTAAGGCAGGTGTCTATATGCACATGGGGGTAACATGCATCTATAAAAAAAACAAAATAAGATATGTATCATGCAAATACATTAAATATTGTAACAACTTAGAATACATACGGCTTCAAAGATGTAGTTATAAATTAAATTTGTATAAAAAAATGACTTGATACAAAATGAGAAAAAGTGTTCACACTGTTAGTAATTGCATCGTCTTACGTATATCGCAAAAAGGATATACATTTAATACATAGATTTTTGACAAAAGCACAATAATTATTGACCTTCAGGGGATGTATCATGCTCATTTTTAGATTCATTCTTATATTTTGGGATTCTACTAGAATATGTTTACATGCCTTAATGTTGAAAAAAAACCTTATATCATAACGTTTGAATATACCTGCATTAACCTTACATCTGAAATGCATCGTCTTTGCGCCTGCCTTGAAATGCCCCATTTCAGTATACAAGCGAATGGTGATACTGTTTCTTATTAGATTGCGGGTAGTGTATTCTAATAAGCTGGGGAGGAACAGAGGAAGGAGAGGCAAAACTGATCGGCTTGTTGAACTCTGAATTGTTTTCACAGAGACGGACTGGGTTTCACAGTTTAGCACTCCAGATAGCCAAATGTATAGCAAAAGCACTGAAAAATGTGTTTTCATAAAATGTCACCTTTAAGTGAAACTATAGTTTTAAACAACCGATTACTGACAGGAATGCGCTATAAGACAGATGTCTACATTTTTCTTGAAAACCCAAATATGACCAGTTTCCACAGAGTGAATAGTTGTTGGTCTGCAGGCATTTTGCTCTCACTATTTAACAGTCAGGTCTACGTGTTGTCTGTCACTTCCAGACAGTTTTCACTCGTCGGAGATGAAGTGGACCACGTAGAGCCTGACGTAGCCCTGGTCCCACACGTACAGGTGTCGGTCTTTGGGGCTGTAGGAGAGCATCGCCAGCACCCCACCTGGAGACCTCAGGTCAAAGGTCACATTCACCGGCTTCCCCTTCAGCAGGTCAAAAGCAAAGGTGACTCTAGCGTCTTTTGTGTCTGTGACATACAGGACACCGCAGGCAATAAAGGCATTGCCGGCCTTGGTGCGCGGGTAGGTGGTGTTTATGTAGGATGTGACGGAGAAGGTCTTCGGGTCCAGCTGGGCCACCGTGATGCTCTCATCCACGCTGGAGGCAAAGATCAGCCACAAGCCGTTCTCATCTGCTGCCAGTTTGAAATAGGTCTTGGAGTTGTGGAGCAGGTAGGCGAGGTTGTGGTACAAAGCGTTTTCTATAGTGAGCGTGTGAAGCCTCTTGGTGTGAAAGTCAAACCTGTGGACAAACAAACAGCAAGTGGTTAACTGGATGTAGCGGAAACGATAGGAAATCATCTCGTGATGCATCACACTGTCCACTATCGGCTTACCTGGCAATGCTGGAAGTACCAGCGATGTGATAATAGAAGGACCCGTTGTGAACAGTGTGGCCGCAGCCTTGGTAGAACTTTTTAACATCCACAATCTCGCTGGTGCTGTTCTGGAAGGAGACGATGCTTTTATACTCCTTTATCACACGACCTGGAGAAGAACATGCAACATGTTTACTGCTAACTGCAAATAAATAATGTTAAGAAAGTAGAGATCCAACAGTATAACATCCTTGCATTGCTTTGACACTCATAGCCTTGCTCTAGGTTTAGATTAATATATGTTCTGTCATGCTGCTGGTTTGACCAATCTACCAGAAAAGTGTTCTGCCACCCAAATTCGTTCATCGTTCAGCTGAGCGGTGTCTCTCATATACGCGCCGAATGTACTCTCCATCTTTGACACATTCCTGGGGTTGATCAGAGACTTGATCAGGCACTCTGAGGGGAAACAGAGTCACACCGGAGTTAGAGGGTTACATCTGTCACATGTGTTTTAGATGTAGACACACTTCTCTGAACACAAACCGTTCTTCTTAGCTGGCTTCTCATGTAGTTTCAAAGCATTCGCAGAGGAGGTTCCATCATTTGGAATTGCGTGTAACTGCCCTGTAATAAACAGAGTGGTTTTATGACATAGGGAGTGTGCTTCTCAAAACAACCTCACCACGAGGAGCATGCATTAGCTGCTGTGGAGTTTTGGATTATATCACATGATCTTGTTCAGCTAATGGAGCTTCTTAGCATTTTAAGTCCTTAAAGTGCAAGAAAAAGAAACACAATTCCATGACATCTGGGCAGGCTGGTAGTCTTTGTGATTTGATTGAAGCATCCAGACTTCATGGATCATGTTGTGATATCAATTTGCAGAATAGTGTTTCCATGTTCAAGATTAACTTGTAATCCAATCTGCAGAATATGTGTTTATAAGTCAATAAAGGCATTTTACCCATGGAATGAGCAGCCTGAAGGTTGGCTCTGTGGTGCCTTGTTCTTGGAGGCCCCTGAGGGCCAGGAGGTCCTGGGGACCCGGGAGGACCTGGAGGGCCAGGGGGACCTGTACAAAGAAGAAAGGAAATATATAGCCACTACAGTGAAATAAAGTAAAGATAAAGGCATTCTGAAAGACATTTTGCAAATCTTTACAGCTTTTTTATTGCTAAATGTTTAAAGTGCCTCAGTGATCAGTGTAAAGCTCTACTCACCCTCAATAATGACGTCATTTGACGGTTGTCCCTTCTCTCCAGACGGGCCAGCCTCTCCTCGCTCCCCTTTTTCACCTGGTTCTGCTTTCTCACCTGATATTGGAAAATATTATGAACATTGTGAAAATATCTCCAAGATTGCACTCACAGACTTAACACACTATTGTTAAAAGCATGAATTACTCCTTTGACTTCCTCTGGTGAATCATGCCATCATACCACTGTGAAGGAGCACAGTGAAGTCAAGTGGGAGAATACTTGGTAGGAGTTTTCCAGTTCATTTAGCCGAAGCCCAAAACCACAGCGATGAATAATATTTGCAAAGAATGTGAGATAAAGGCGGCTGTTCAGTCATCTACTGTGAATGAAATCAACCGTCATTATGATTCACGGATAGATCAGGAATCTGTGTGTGTTCAGTGTGTGTCTTTCTGTGCGTGTGCTATTTTTAGCCTCAGGTTACACTCAACCCTTTGACTTGTACATTGTACACATGGTTCTTTACTAAAATGGCCAGCATTGCTCGAGGCATTATACAAATGGATGGTGATTAAATACAGAGTAGAGCCTCAATTATTTGGTACCTTTTTTTCCTCTTTTCCCCTCAGCCCCGGGCAGTCCATTCAGTCCAGGAATGCCATCAGTCCCATTGTAGCCGGGCATACCGTCCACACCGGGCAAACCTTCAGTAACACACAACATCTTGACCATGGGCTAAATGGAAAACACATTCAGCTAGTATATGGGTCACTAAACCACAAAGGAGACATGCACTATGGCTAGATTTTAAATTTGGACCAAGAGTGGTTTCTCTTACCAGGCGGTCCTGGTGGTCCTGCAAGAGAATGATTAAAGATGTTAAAGAACAAAAAGTGATCTTTTGGATATAGTATGTAGCTTTACGTATATGAGGAAGACATACCTGCAATGCAGACTCCCTTGGTGCTGTTGCAAATGTCAATCAACAATTTGATCTAAGGGGAAACAGAAAAAGTTTTTCAATGCTTTACATGTCAGCAACAGGGGCAAAGATACGATTGCATTGACAGCCCATTTAGTCAGTATTCTGAAACAATAACATAAACCAACAAGTAAATAGAAAAGCAATTCTAAGGTAAGAGCATAATTAACTAAATATACTATCTAAAGTATAACATTACTTATGCATCATATATCTTTGAATATTCAATTAAATAATAAATGACATAATATAATTATTGTTACTGATGTTAAGAAACACGGCGATGTTGTAGTTTGCAATGCAAATGTTATCAATTTAAATGCTGTTGTTTCATGTTTAGTTTAATCTGTAACAATGCAACACACTCCAAGCACAAAATGGAAATATTCCTATACACTAAAAGTGTTTTACAAAATGTACCATTGGGCTTTGAAATGACATCATTCCACCGAGTGTAACCCTGGCCCTCACTCTGTTTTATTTCAGTGTTGTGGTATTATTGCACACAGTAAATCCCAACATGCAGGACCTGGAGCCTTCAGACCCCCTGATGGTCTGAGGCCTGGGGACCGGTGCCCATCTTATCCAGATGTTGATGGAGCAAAGGTCAGTGATGACAAAATACAAAGTGACCAAATCTCACCGGGACCATGGAGTAGGTCATCATCATCATCATGTCGTCCTGAAGGTGTGCCTTGGGGTAACTCTGTCGATGTTTGTGCTTCATCTCATTCTTCATCTTCTTCTCTGCTTCCTCTCCCACCTCCTGGCTGACCTCCTGGCTGACTTCCTGTCTCTCCACCTGGTGGAGCTCCTGCATCTCCTGCTGTAGCTCCTTCTCCAGCTCTTCACTTCTCTTATTCCTGGAAAACTGGGACTGATATTGCGGATGTTCCCCCACCCTAGCCCGCAAAGCTGCCGCTCCTCTCGGCACCTCCTGGAGGAACTCCACCACGGAGCTCTGCTCCACCTCTGTCAGCTTCACCTCTGCTTGCTGCAGCAGGGCTCGCTGCTGATTCTGCTGGACCAGGAGCACCAGGAGGCCCACAGAGTTCATCAACGCCACCACACATGTCCCGTACAGCACCAACCGCTGAGGGAGAGTCATGCTGGGGGTTGGGATCCACATCGTTACCACCTCACCTCCGCTTTTCTGAGGGTCACTTGCCAACTTCAGCATTCAAACGGTATACAAATCCAGTACAGAACTCAAAGAGGACAAAGTCCAATTTTTACGGCCTGTTGTCCAAGACGCTGCCACCAAAAAGTCTAATCAACCGTATGCCAAAAGAATCCAATAGAGGGAAATCATAAACAAAATGTAGAGTCCTTTTCAAATAATTTGAAAGCTCCAAATAGAATCCAGTCAGAGTGTGCCTGTGCTCCTCACGGGTGGTGGTCTGAAGTCAGACTGGTAAATACAGTTCTTGTTGTGTTGTTCACCAAGTGGAGAAGGGCTAGTGTGTGTGTGTGGTGTGTGTGTGTGTGTGTGTGTGGTGTGTGTGTGTGTGTGTGTGTGTGTGTGTGTGTGTGTGTGTGTGTGTGTGTGTGTGTGTGTGTGTGTGTGTGTGTGTGTGTGTGTGTGTGTGTGTGTGTGTGTGTGTGTGTGTGGTGTGTGTGTGTGTGTGTGTGTGTGTGTGTGGGTGTGTGTGTGTGCCAGTATTGTAGGAGTGGGCATTACACAATCTTCTGGGCTTGTCTGGGAAGAAACCCCCGCCTGTTCAGTCACCTGATTTATATTCAGCATAACCCATTCTACTGCACCGCCGTGGGCAGACTGACATCACGGATATGTATAGTGTACGCACAAAAGCACTCAAATGCATACAAATGAAAGCATGCATTACACCAGACAAGCTGACTGCTTATTTTTATTTACATAATGTATACATGTTATTATGAATACTATTCCAACGGTGAAGAGTTTCAAACTTCACATCACATCAAAATGCATTCACATCATTATAGTTTCCATTGGTTCATGACCCATCCTCCCAAACTCCTGTATGCTTCCCTTATCTCACACAGTCCCTCCTCAAACCTTCCAACCAGCAACAATGACCTATTTCCACTGCTTTGATTTGGGCCAGAAAAGTGACATTTCACCACTCTAAATATCAGTAAAGCAGGGAAAATTCCAAGTACTCCATTCTTCTCTGTCACATGGTGTTGGTACTGTCTCATTTGACTGAGATGTAAGTGTAGTGGTCCGTTTTATGTGATCTCTTCAATAAAAAAAACGATTTGTTTGAATAAGTCAGTTTAGTCGGTTCTCTGCTGACATGGAGCACTGCTTTATTTAGCTGACCTACATGCTCTTGCATCCTTGTGAGGTCCCACACACACACTCAGGAAGTAGACATGCTACATTGGGGTTAGATTCAGATCCTGTTGACCGGGCGTTTGGTATGTAGGCTCCCTCCTGAGGCTGTAGGTCACTGCCAGTCAGTTGTTGGACAGCTTGTATTGCTTTGGCAGATGTGTAGATGTGTTCGCTCATACAGTATTAAGAGCACTGAGGTCGTTCCTTTGTTGTCTCTTTTTCACTTTCTAATGCCTGACCAACTGAGACTGGGAACAAAAAGCAGGGGAAAGCCCACCTTCTATATGTGGATCTCATCTCTGATTAACATTTGGTCTATATGCTGTAAAATGTATTATCTTTTCAATTTACACACGGCATCTATTGCACGTCTGTCCGTCCTGGGAGAGGGATCCCTCCTCTGTTGCTCTCCCTGAGGTTTCTCCCATTTTTTCCCCTTTAAACTGTGGGTTTTCTTCGGAAGTTTTTCCTTGTACGATGTGAGGGTCTAAGGACAGAGGGTGTTGTTTTTCTCATACTGATATTCTGAACAATCTGTGCTGTTGTATTTGCTGTAAACTTGTAAAGTGTCTCTACTGTAGGCTATTTTTGGCTCGACCAAAAATCGTTTATAAATGTGTTATATAAATAAAACTTGATTTGATTTGATTTATTTTGAAGACTGTAATGTTGGCAAAGTTGCTAAATGATTCAGCCTTATTGAGGATCCATTCAAATGAACCCTGCGGTGTAAACATGTCAGCATGCCTACAAACTCTTCTCCACCTCAGGTCTCTCGTTGACCTTCTCTCTGTTTGCGCCTTCCTCCCGAGGTGCAGCTGCAGGGAGAGCAGCCTTCCAGTATCTATCTTCTTCGTGTCTTCCTTCAAACAGTATCCTCCCATTCTCCTCTTCTCTCTGTCCAATATTCTTGTTTTTTTCAGTGCTATCTTTGAAGTTTCAAATGTGTTTTGGAATGCTACGAATCAGCTTATCACTGAAAATTAAGATTAGATTCAATAATGTGAAATCAGTAAAATGGCACATCAAAGACGATCAAATTAAGCCAATAAACACCACTATAAATGAACAAATTACATTTATTAGACATCGAAAAAAGCCCTGACTTTAAGAAACACAATGAGAGGGATAGAGGTGGAGTTCATCTTCTAGCTGTTCTCAGACCTTGCAATACTGCTTTAAATCTTAATTGTGAGGTCAATTCCTAAAGGCAGTTTAGGCAGGTCCCATAGCATAAAGCGCACAGTCTGAATTCATATCCACTCACTTCTGCTGCACGTCATGCCTCAAAGAAAATTCATAAATTCTGTCCAGACCTCATACATGGTCTGACATTTTCCCTCGGCTTTCAATCAATCTTGTTTTTCACTTCTAAACAACTCTCTACACATGTAGTGGAGACAATGATGTGGTTGACCACAGCACAGAGCACAGAGACAAGGTTACATTAACTTCTGTTTTCGGGAAAAACAGACGGGGTTGTCTTTGCTTAATCATGCAGAACAATCTCTGTCCGAGCCATCATACAGGGGACGTTATCGAGGCAGGGCCTCACACACAGTCGGACATTTCAACTGTGCACATTCCTCGACTCCACCGTGGGCGGTGAGTGAATTCACAGAGTCCTTTATACAGAGCACATGGAACAAAGGCAGAGCCAAACAGAATTGGCTTTGTCACAAATTGTGAAACAAAATATAAAAAAATAAGAATACAATTGTATTTAACCCAAAAAGAAATACAATTCAATATTTTCACTTGCTTAATGCTTATTTAGAAGAAGGAGTATTTGGGTTATTATTTAATGTTTTATTGTTGTTGATTTTTCGCTTGGATTTTTTTGTTCTTGCCTTTCAAAACATATTGTTTGTCGTTATGATGTGAGTACGGGACTACAAATATACATAAAACATTAAAAAAAGGTTTGATGAACCCATAAATACCTAAGATATAAATAAATAAAGAAGTGTGTTTTTGTGTCAGAATCTTAACAATAGGGTTAAATCTGAGCAGGTCTGTCAAATGTCCTATTCATTTTTACATTTCATTAAGTCAAGTTTTTTATTGATAAAACAGCTTCAATAATCAAATACGATGATGATGTGATGGTCTAGTGTAAAACAATTTACCCGTAAACCCTAATATGTAAAACTAAAATGATAGACTACACAACTGCATTTCAGGTGCACCAATGTACCCTTAGATATTCAGAAGACATGACTTTCTGGCTTCAATGGTTGCTTTTGTGAGATGCAAGAGCTGCTACAGAACTTATGTTCCGTTAAAGTCATTTCATTAAAAGCACACTATATGATTTTGTTTTCATAACCTCATGATGTTGCAGTAAATCCGTAGACACTGTTTAATACATCACAGCTCTGCTTCTCCATCTACTGGTGGTCTGTTGGAGGAAAACTGGGAGTAATCTCAAATAACAAAGGCCACAGCATATCATGTTTAAAAACATATTTTTAGTTGGAACATTTCATTCCAGCTGTTTCTTGTTTTTCTTCGAAGATGTAAAAAAAAACTGAAGAGATTTTCAAGAGATCTTTTTTTTTTGGACGACAGATAAAGCTTTAATAATAATAACACAGGCCAGATGTTGTTTCTCCAATAAGATTCTTTTGAAGTTCAAAGCTGGACCAAAACTTTGCTCTGATCACCAGAATGTTAAATACAACCCATGAACCGTCTACTCCCCAACATTCACCCACTGAACTTGGGCCTGCACGCTCAAGGGCACCGGCACCAATCCAACCCCTCAAGGTTACACTTGTATTGTTTACCATTTCTCTCCCGTGTTGTGGCTTTTGCATCACCCTGACCTGGCTCTTAACCAGCTCAGCCCTCATATAAACACCAGGCTCCGGCTTTCGGAGGCATCTGTCATTACCCGGGCGGTTGTTTGGTTTGTGCAGTTAGTGCAGGTTGTTTTACTACTGCCTTCCTATGGATCTGATCCCTGCCTGTGAATGGGCCCTGATTCCTGTAGGTTTCGACACCATAGTGGAAGACCTGGTCTCTATGTCCTCGAATGTCACTGCAGTGAGATCACCGGGGATCTCCGTTGCAACCAGGACCCTCATCCTGCTCCTCTGTCTGCTGCTGGCTGCATGGAGCCACGCGGACAAGAACACTGTACCTGGTAGGTTCTCTTTATAGACACTTGGCAGTTTTTGTCTGTGTGTTTGTGTCAATTCTCCATCACTGAATGACATTTATTGTGATTCACCACCACAGGTCCTTCTTTCTGTCTGGGCTTGGGTCCATTTCTGTCATATGTGAGATTCATCTGGACCGGTATAGGCACAGCCAGTAACTACTACAATAAAAAGTATGGAGACATTGTCAGAGTGTGGATCAATGGAGAAGAGACCCTCATACTCAGCAGGTTGGTTACCTCTGTTAATGCTGCGGGAAAAACAGTTTATACACAAACAGGGGATAATGATTTAATGTCGATTTTTTGTTTCTTTTTTAGGGCATCAGCTGTGCACCATGTACTGAAAAATGGACATTATACTTCCCGTTTTGGGAGCAAGCAAGGACTCAGCTGCATCGGCATGAATGAGAGAGGCATCATATTTAACAACAACATACCTCAGTGGAAAAAAATACGCACCTACTTCTCTAGAGGTAACATTTCAACCTTAGTCTGCATTCCAGGCTTACTGATTGAGTCAGTTGTTTATTCGGTTCAGTTACAAGAGATTTGATTTCCCGTATCAGCCCTGACAGGTCCGGGCTTGCAGCAGGCGGTGGAGGTCAGCGTCTCCGCCACACAGACTCACCTGGATCGTCTGGACCGTTTGGGTCATGTGGACATTCTCAGTTTGCTGCGCTGCACCGTGGTTGACATCTCCAACAGACTCTTCCTGGGTGTACCTCTTAATGGTAAGTAGGCATGCATTCCTCTTTTAAGATGAAAGATGGATCAAACACATGCGGCCAATAGGTTAGGATGCAATTTTTCTAAATACCTTTGTGTTAACCTCTCCAGAGAAAGAGCTGCTTCTGAAGATACAGAAGTATTTCGACACATGGCAGACTGTGCTGATAAA